GAGCATATGCTTTAAAGTATTGCATACTTGCAAAGTAAGGAATAAAATTGTAATAATGTTTGCATTCCGCGGCATTTTAGTGCTTAAAAAAATACCTTGTCTGAACGAAACCGATTCACCTTCAAACAATCCAGACTGTGTAAGAAGACAAAAATGTGCGCTTGCAGCATAACAAAAGAAATAAAAAATGGTTAATGACTCGTGGCATCGGACACTCCGGTATTCTGTGTATGGCCTTTGTGACGTTAAAATGACTTTGATTACTTTATTTACGTTGCGATTTACCTTTAGGTACATGTATATATATATATGCTGTTTTATATTTAGTTCGCGAAATAATCATCTAATTAATTAAATATTATCCTAGTAAAGTGTCTTAGACTCGCAGAAAATGTTATTATCTATATTTATACAATTTTTATAATTCGAATGTCTCTATTTTCCAATAGAAAGTTCTTAAAAGAACAGTAAAATAAGGTGCTTGTATTTTGCTTTATTTATCATAAGAAAAATCTGTAAACAGTACCAGAAATTTCGTTGTTCATGTATTAATAATTATGTCTTTAATTATTTATTTATTAAATCATCATCATCATAGGGTCGTCAGTCTTAAGACTGGTTGGACACGTACCTCCACTCTTTCCTATCCTGAGCTAAACTTCGCATTTTCTTAAAACTAAAACAACCCACATCCTTAACTATTTGTGAACAGTAATCTAACCTAGGTCTACCTCTACCTCTCCTATCTCCTGTTTCTGCCTCTAATATGTCTCTGACTAGACCTTCATGCCTGAGAAGGTGTCGTATCAACCTATCTCGCCTATTTTTTATTGACTTCCATAGAGTCCTCTGTTCTATTTTTCTTTCTAATACCTCTTCATTTCTAACCTTTTCTACCCACGTTATCCTTATCATTCGCCTATAACACCACATTTCGAAGGTTTCTAACTTTTTCTTTTCCGCCGCGGCCACTGTCCATGTTTCGCTCTCGTACAACGCCGCGCTCCAAACATACACCTTTAACAACCTTTTTCGAATATCTAAATTAACCGTTTGCGAGCATAGAAGTATTAAATAAATGCAACTATTTATTGAAAATTAATAATAATAATAAAAGAAGATCCAATTATTCGTTATCTTTGAAGTGAACAGTAATCTAATCTATGTCTACCTTTTCTTCTCTTAGCACATAAGTAACCCTTCATGCCGGAGAAGGCAACCTATCTCACTTATTTCTTATTGGCTTCCATAATACCCCCTGCTCTCATAGTCTTTCTAATACTCTCTAATTTCTAACCTTCTCTATTCACGATATCTTCATCATTGGCCTGTAACTTCACATTTCGTACGCTTCCAACCTTTTCCTTTCTGCTGCGTCCACCGTACACGTTCCGCACCCATACAGCGCCGTTCTCCAGATATACACCTTAGAAGTAACTTCTTTTTGTTAAAGGCGACCACTTCTTCTAAATTTTCGCTCCCCATTTCACTCTTTCTCTACTCTTTTCTCTCTTGCATACCAGTATTTAGTGTTACGTACCTATTACTTAATTTGTAATTTTGAATAAGTATTCGATTCTAATTTAGGGCAATAATCGATTCGATTTGATTCAAACGTTATTCGCACAACTCTTAATTATTTTTCTTAAATGAGTATAGATTTTAATAGTTTGATGCTCTTCCTTTTAGTAGGAAATTATTCTTATTTATCGTAACCTATAAGTAGTTATAAATGCCGTAAGTACATATGCACAGGTACAAAATTTTGGGGATAAATGTTCGTGTCGTTATTCATAAAAAAGGAATGTGTCTGTGTTTTTGGCATTTATTCGTAGTCAATGTTGTTTTGCAAGCTGAAGTATAGAATTGGAATGTCGCTGCTGGCCATAATCACAACACTTTTTCGCGTTCATTGAGAACGAGTGACGTAACAGGGAGTAAATTTAGCCCACGTATGAAATTTTCAATAGCGGATATGACGTCAAACAATTCAGAAGCTCTTATGTCTCATTTTAAATTGTAGGTAACCTTAGAACCTCTCATCGTTTTTATGTTTACGGTTTTTCTTTTTCTGTAAGGCATTTCATCAATTTCTATTATTAACTAGGTGCCTTTTAAGGGAGGCGTTAAATGCAAACGAACTATTGCAACAATATTTAATCTTCTAAGACTAAGTTTATGGTTATAGATCAAACGCAATTGTTAAGATTTATGTTAAGAGCAATTAACATGCCAACATAAGCGCGGTTTAACATCCATTGTTAAAGTTATGTTAATGCGATTTTAAACATCATTTAGCAACAATGGTGAGATTAAAGTTGGCCCCCCTTAGATCAGGCCCTGGCGCCCATTAATGTGGAGTTCTTTTAAGTTTTGGACCTCTCCTTCGCGATACGGCAAGATGTGATGGGAAACCTCTCAGCGTGAGATTTACCCTATTTAGCGAATTAATATTTGTTTATAATCTATATATGTTACCATGAAAGTCCAATGTAAGTTAAAACGCGATTTGCCTAGCTTCTATAGTTAATTCTAGTTTTGATAATCTTCGTTAGAAGTGACGCATTGTATTCAAACCCGCTTTTATTGAATAGTTAGAGGTGATGGGGATCTATTTAATTAATTATATATATAATTATAGTACAAAAAGATAGATTAGATAGAATCAGGGTAACCTAAACTCCCTTCATGAAGTAGATGTGCTTCCAATAATTGCAGTGCTGCAAAAGACAAGCTATAGGTCGACTGTCAAAAAAAAAACTTTTGGGTGTTTCATTCTCATCAGCCACTAATTTTAGTGGGCGGGCAGTCCTTCCGGACTACACCGGAAGGTAGGGTGAAAGGCCCTCTTAGGATTCCTTTCAGGAATCGTGGGAATGGGTGGGTAGTAGTTTGGGTGACAAAGATGAGACGGACGAAATGAATTCAGAAGAGAATAAAAGATTATCTGTGGAATATTACTGCCCCAGCATTTGCCTAAGTGATCCAAGGAAATATGGACCAAGACCCGGAATCGAAAATGGTCTAAAGCGCAGTAAGGGCGGTGGATACTCTGATGAGAGAGCAAGCTGCCGTTAGGGGAGTTAATATAGATAATATTAGGAAAATTGCTTATTGCACACATGTTATGCAATTTAAGTGTTGTTGATATTGTTGAAATGTAAGACCTGTGGAAGTGTAAGGTGAATGGCCAGCAGGTCGGAGGTAAAATGTAAATCTTGTGAGTCAGGTAGTCCACTGCAGATGTAGCTAGGTATGCCTGGAGTGGTAGTACGCCTGTGAATGACGTGTGTTAATGAGGGAAGAAATCCACTCCTTGACCTACTGTATGCAGCAGTGTCCTAAGTGTTGATAAAGCTGGGGTGATATACGCAGAAGGGCGTCCAGTAGAGGAATAAGTCTCTACAATAACTTTTAAGATCTGATCGCCATCCACATGTTTTTTGGTAAATTGTTTACCAAGATCTTAATTTTATTATTTTGATCAAGTTTTTAACCCACTTTAAAAAAAGGAGATTCCCAATGCGTCGAAATCGTTTTTTTTATGTCTGTTCCCCAATTACTCGAAGACGCCTGGACCCATTCTAGAAATTTTGTTTTGTTTAAAAGGGTATACTTCCCAGGTGGTCCCATTTTATAGGGACTCATAATGCGTTTTACATATTTTCTAAAATCACTCAAGTAAAAGTAGGGTAAGAACCAATATAAAGATAGGAGACGAAAAATTAGAAGTGACTGATTTTAGGTATCTAAGAAGTCAGATAAATCAGGACTTAAGGAGTAGCGCAGGGTCAATAAAAAGAAGTCACTTCTATACTCGCGAACGGTTAATTTAAAAATTCGAAAAAGATGTGTTTGGAGTGCGGCGCTGTACGGGTGCGAAACATGGACAGTGGGTGCGGCGGAAAAGAAAAAGTTAGAAGCGTTCGAAATGTGGTGTTACAGGCGAATGATGAGGATACTGTGGATAGAGGTAGGAAATGAAGAGGTATTAAAAAGAATAGGAGAACAGAGTGTTGCGTCTTAACCACTTGTTAAAACGCTGTATTAAAATACAGATTGCAGTTCGAATTAATTTTTATTTTTGGTGCAAGTACAAAGTTTTTTATTTTTTTTGTTACAAAGTCAACCGTCTTTATTGGAGTTCAATTTGAATCTGTCTTAAAAACTCAAGTTAAAATGTATCCAGTACCGTCGCCACCCCACACCCTCGGTTACTTAGTCAGGGTCCATTCGTGACGGTACGGTGCGATTTCTAAAAAACTACTTTACTTACAATTTATGACATGACCGATCACCCTCGGCATGCTGTTAAAAAATAGTCCCCTAGCAATTGTTCCTGCACTTTCTAATTTTACAATCTATTTCTAAGTTCTCTACAATTTCGAGATTTCTCTTTCCAAGAAAAGATCTAAACACAGAGGACTCTATGGAAGTCAATAAAAAATAGGCGAGATAGGTTCGTAGGACACCTTCTCAGGCATGAAGGTCTAGTCAGAGACATATTAGAGGCAGAAACAGGAGTTAGGAGGGGTAGAGGTAAACCTACATTAGATTACTGTTACGGATATGTGGGTTGTTATAGTTTTAGGGAAATGCGAAGAGTTGGTCAGGATAAGAAGGAGTAGAGGCACGTGTCCAACCAGTCTTAAGACTGACGACCTTATGATTGTGACCGTATAGACCGATAGGTTTTATTAATCGACTTGAAAGTAGGAAGGAGGTTCTTAATTTTACTATGTTTATGTTTTCTTTTTGTATGTTCGTTACGCGATTTCTTCGCCAGTTATTGCCTTAACACTAATCTAATTTTAGTTAAGAACACTCTATCTAAAGATGTGTATCATTCAAATTTTTGATACTTAGGACGCTTTCGATTTTGAGTCATGTACAACGTCATCTGGTCTTATTGCGGACATAATCGTTCCTAGAATTTATGTTTGAACAATTAACCTTGGCCCACTTAATACATTATGATGTGATACGTACAATAATTTGACGTTAATGGAAACGTCAGAATGATCTCAGGTGCCATCTGAAATTTCTTACGTTACAGGTGACGTTAACGACTTCGTTTGTAATTATTTATTTTTAGGGTGTTTACAAGACGTATATTTAACTTCACGTAACCACAGTAGCTTTAGACTAAAAATATGACAATAAGCAAATGGTCACGGCCAACATTATTCGTTTTCGAATAAGTATTTTTGGCATATACATCTGACAAGGATCTTTAACGGGGCCCGAAAGATGTCGAACAATAAGAAACAAAATATTTGTGAATTGATAACGGAACTGACATGTCTTTTAAAAGAATACAACAGATGTTTAGAAGTTACGCCGAGCGAATTTATTAAAAGCGAAATTTACGAACAGGAACCGAACGAAACGAAAAGTTACTACTACGAAAGTTTTTTACAAATGATGCGGTTCTACAGTGTCTATGAAGGAACTGTGGCGTTATATAAGTCGTTTCACAAATTGAGACAGATAAATAAAGAACATGTAACAGTTTTGGTTTACGTTATAATGAATTTTTTTCATAAAAGCTCCTACACGACAATAAAAATCGCATTCAAAATGTTCTCCTCTGAAGAAGTCAATAGACTGCTGCAGTTCTTTACAAAAGAAGATAATTTAATAGATATAGCTCAAATGGCATGCAGAAAATACGAAAATGATTTTGTACTCGAACAAATAATGGTTCCACTTACGTCATGCACATCATCGTTCGAATGGATGTTGAAAGAAAGGGAGAGTGAGAGGTTCGAAAGAGAACAGGCACGCGTCAAGCCGCCAACTAAGCCTAATCCTCCAAAATGCGCCACAGTTGTAAAGCGAACCCCAGCACCTCCAGGGAATACTCCCACTTTATCTCTCAGTACATTTAAACGCTCTCACATTCCAAGAAGCATGTATAATAAGACCTCTAAAATAGAGGAGAAGTTGGAAGCATGTAAAACAGAAAACAGAGAAAATGCTCGACAATTGTACTTGGAGGCTCAGAAAAATTCATTCAAATGTGCCAGAGAACTTACAAAATTCGTATCAAAAACTACAGCAGCCGATTCTGAAACTCAATCTGTTGTTCCAACATCTTCCGTTACTTTTAAACACAAATCGGTCCCTCCATTTAAGCCGGTTTTTGTAAAATCCAATAATACGACGTTATTAAGAGAAGCAGCCCTCATATCTAAAGATCAACAGAAGGAAATAGAGAAAATTGAGAATATTGTAAGTGGCGGATTCGACATAAACATTGCCCAAGCTATTGAAGAAGAGATTAGGAAGGACGAGGAAGCTCGGCAGTTACAAGAAATTGAAAAAAAGCATTTGAAAGGACTACTGACTTATGAGCAATCGCTTTTGGCAAAAAAGAAATTGCTGAAAACGAATAAATTAAAAATGGAAAAATTCCAAGAGGAAAGGCTAGAACTGCTGAAAGAAATAGAAAGATGGCGCGAAGAGGAAGAAAAGAAAATCAGGGAACTTGTTGAACAGGCTAAAAGTATTGAGAAAGGAGCAAAAGATGCTGAACGAAAGATGATTGCTGAAAAAAGGTTTTTATTTATTTCTACTGCACTATTTTTATTTAATTTGTGTTGTAAATTTATAAAGATCACACATAAAAACCTATAAAAGCTGGCTTGTGTATGCCAGGGTGCATGTTCAGACCAGGGTACATTTACCTGCCGTTTCCTTGAACCATTAAGTTGGAAATTCAAATATTCAATTTTGTTGGTTTTTACAAATATTATATGTAAGTGGTTTAGGTGTAATTTTAGGGTATCGAACTTTGCAGGTAACAATATCTTTAAGATATTTTATCTTCAAGTACTTAAATAATATTAGAAACCAGTTGGTTAGCACCTTCAGCCCTTCCTCTATCAGGGTGGAGATTATGTTATAAATAGACATCAAAATAGACATTAAATAAGAACAATTAAGACAACAACAGACAACAATTAGTAGCATCAGTGTAATCATCAAGTTCAGGGTCTTCAATATATGTATTAACTGTATATATGTAAATAAATATTACTAAGTGCAGTTATTCGTGTTATTCACAAGTGAGGTAAATTATTTGCACTTACAATCCTTCCAAAAAATTCGTATGCTCCCTCATAGGAGAAAGAAGTGGCGCGGCAGCGCAAAATAAATAAAACAGTGCATACGACCGAAGTAAAACTTCTTGTAAATGAATACTGTAATTGTCCAAGTTTATTTTAAAGTATTGGTGTAACTGATATTTTTTGATTTCGTAGAACAGCAGAAATCTTCAATAGACACTGTAGGCTGTCCGTACGACGTCCTTTTGGGAGAGAACTTGCAAACTTAAACTCCTCTACATCAGGTGTTTTAGAATCATGAAATGTCCTCTTAGTCCGTGTGTAATTATGAATGTTTTGTGATTATGATGCTTTGTTGAATTATGTGTGTGTGTTGTGTGGCGGGTGCTATTTGAGGGACTTGAAGACGCTTCGTAGTATTCGCTCAATTCGTCGAGGAGGTCGAGTGAATCGCCAATAGTTTGACGGGAGATAAGGGATTTGCTTTCAGCTTACGTGCCGTTCTTCTGGGTACGTAGATCAGGGTTTTGTGTTGAGTTAAGGATATTGTTATCTGTTACCAATAGTTCTTTTAGCGAATTCGGTTTGCAGGTTGTTAATAACTCTCGTGTAGGAATCGGTGTAATTGTTATGTCGTAAAGTGTATTGAATAAAAAAAATCTATCTAATCTTGCGATTCCGCCACGTCGTATAATGTGTATACATATATACATTCACATACGTCAGAGATAATGTAAGTGTTTCATATGTCAGTAAAAGGAGAGGGGATATGTTCCATTGTATAATTCCCTTTTGTAGCATATAACTTTTCATTCCACAAAATCACACTCCACGAATTGTCTAAGCTCTGGTGACGCACAAGAAGTTTTACTTCAAAAGTACCTATTAAATAAAACTTTTTGAATAAATTCCTCTTTTTTTCTCAAAAAATTGTACCTAAAGCGTGGTAGGTTCCTAATACGCAGTTCGTGGATTTTTAAAATCCTAAAAAGTTGATTTATGCTCATTAATGCAAAAATGATTTTATTTTCAAGACAAAATGCTGCACTTCTTGACGCCGAAAATAAGAGTCTCCTTCAACAAGCCTATATGGAACGGGAGAGAGAACTGCAGGAGAGGGCTCAGCTGATTCAAGAACTGAGATCGCTGCAGCAAGTTAGAATTTTGCATGTCAAAGAGTTTGACCCGACAGAGACTCCAAATCTTGGCCTGTTATGTGAAATGAGCATCGCGGAATTAAAGGAACGCCTGTCTATTATGAGAATGGAACTTAAAGAGGAGTTAGAGAACAAGAGAAAAAGAATATCAGAAGAAAAACACAGACAGCAGCAGATGATAGAGAGCGTCAAGTTGTACATAAAAGATGCAAGATTTGTTAAGTTGAAGAAAAAGAAAAAGAAAAGAATTGTACACTTGGAATTGACACCTGAACTTATTGCATTGCGAACAAAACTTCAAGAAGCACGGAAAGCAAACAGACTTGGACAAAGCATTGTTGTTGGATGATTATTTATTTATTTATGTACTTTTTACTTGTCCTTATACTTAATGTGTTAATTTCTCGTAAATTTTAAATTTAAAAGTTCGATAGAATTTCGGATTTTCTTTTGTAACAACTTTTGTAACGCATCTTAGAAATTAGTGGGTGAAACGGTTACGTATGTACATCGAGAATATATCAAGTCGAAAATATTGGGTAGATTTGAATGACGTTTAATGATTTTCTTGACTATTACATACGGGTGCACTAAGAACGCAGTATGCGAAAATCGTGTTTTATGGACTGAAAAAGAAAAGCAAAAATTTAAAGGTGTTATTTAAAAGGTAATAAAATTGTAAGAATGATGTATGTTTTTCAATTTTTATATTTCGTTACCATATTTATTGTCTATTTGCTGGTATTATACAATCCAAATAGTAAGAAAGAAACGAAAGGGTAGTTTGGGCCCCGGCGCACTAGTTTTTTTTTTTATGAAAACACCCCATACAAGAAAAACATAAATTAGTTACATCTTGAAATAGGATTTTGTTAAATCAAATTGTTGACCTAAAATCCTATGCAATGAATTCTGCAAAAATCGTTAAAACCTTTTATATATACATACGTAATATACAACAATCCCTGTATTATAGGTACAATAAACTGCAATATACTACGTAGAACTCGTCAAATTATTGTAAATATAGCACCCTCGTGCATTATGTAAAAGAGTGGAAAGTGGGTAGTAGTTGCGGGTATGACTTTTCATACAACACTAGAAAGGTGTTTCTGGTGAGTGCGCATGGGGCGGAAGTGAAAAATTGAATGTTAAAGAAAAGCTTAACGCAATCTAGCCCCTAGTAAAGTTATTTTTCGATTCATAAATAGTACCATGTGTAAAAGAATCTTAATATCATTTAGAACCCAATGATGGGTGCTATGGTGTAAATTTGGGTACTTACGTCCACAATATGGATGTCTGAAGTACTTTTACATATATACAGATCTATTTAACGATGCAATTATCCGTTGAAGCATTTATACCCTTATAAGCAGGTGTGTTTTGTTTCATCTGTTGTTTTCTGTTTAATTTATTTTTACAACCGTTCGTACGAACCATACATCTGTACACACTTAAAAATACGATCAGTAACATTTGCATCTGCAAACACAACGGATTATCTATTGGTGTTTTTAAGTCGAGATATTTTTGCAATCAATCGGAAGCTATATTAGATTAAGGAGAGGATAATCCAAAAAACTTTTCGTGGTTGTTTATTATTGCATATCAATGGTTATTATTTGATAATTGAGTGAAATAAATAAACTTATTGTACCTATCTATTTTTTCTTCATCTGTTTCAGGTAAATGTTGGATCACCAGCAGAACGAGCAGGACTAATTGCTGGCGATTCCGTTATTAGAGTAAACAATACAGATGTATTTAACCTTCGACACAAAGATGCCCAGGATGTTATAGTTAGAGCAGGCCCATCGTTTGATGTCACAGTACAAAGGTAGGTTTAAGAAGGTGTTTTGGCTTGATTTTAGTGGTACATGAGTGTATCTACAGATATTATTTCAACCGATAGTATTTGTGTAAAGTAAAAGCCTGAATAGTAACAAATCCTGAGAAGATCCAGTTGAATTAATTTTACCACGATTCTCTCGCAACTCTTAGGTTTAGACTTTATTCTTATAGCACTGACTTTCCTGTAAACGTTTGCACAATAGTGATGAGTAAAGCAAGACCAGTCTTGGTCTCGGTCTTGTCTCAAATGTTTTTGTCATACATGCGTGCTTGTCATGACTTCTAAAGAAAATTGTTGGTAGTTGTGAGTTATGAAAACTCGAGAACTTACTCTTCTTCCAATACATACATTGACCTTTTAAAGAACAATATAGTACAAGGTACATGAAAGAAGTAAACACATCGAACAAAAAATTGTTAGTTTCTATATTTCAATCATGTGTTATTCGGACATAGGAATAAAGAACACTAACTCCGAGGACATTCTTGTAGATCCTTTTTTTTCAAACAGTGGTAAAGTTTCTTTTTTTTATATTTTGTGTTAAAATATACCGTGGATAGAGAAGGTTAGAAATTAGAAAGAATAGGAGAACAGAGGACTCTATGGAAGTCAATTAGAAATAGGCGAGATAGGTTGGTAGGACCGGTGATGCCAAATCCCTCCCGCAGGTAGTTTTGGTTAAAATATAGATGTCGACTTCCCTTTATCGAAAATAAATATATATTTATAGTTCACTGCAGTACTTCAGTAAATTAAAGATAAAATAATTTCAGAAAAAAAAACACATATCAGTTATGAAATGTTTATTTATTTAATTTTAAAATGGTTTCCCACTACCTTAACAAATTCAATGTTTGGAAATTCGTGTGCGTCTAGCTTTTTGATGCAATCATCCAGAAAAACTTTATTAGTTCTAGTTTGTCTTGTATTTGACCAATAGAAGGACAGTCTGATAAAGTTATTATTGTTATTGTGGTGTCTATAATATATGAATAATATTAAGATTAATATGTGATGTGAGGCTGTATTATTTAATTAACTCTTTATGGCTTTATAGTGGCAATTAGCTCTCAAGGTCCGCCGCCGTTGGGCAATTGATGTATAATTAGGAGGGAATTCGACATACCGAAAATTTTAACCCTAATTAAAAACAGGTATATGGGAGGGAACTAGGCATTATCCGGTAGGACACCTTCTCAAGCATGAAGGTTTAGTCAGAGATATATTAGAGGAAAAACGGTAGTTAGGAAGGGTAAAGGTAGACCTAGATCAGATTACTGTTCGCAAATAGTTAAGGATAAGGATGTGGGTTCTAGATTTAGGGAAATGCGGAGATTAGCTAAGGATAGGAAAGAGTGGAGGTGCGTGTCCAAGCAGTCTTAGGACTGACGACCTTATGATGATAAATGTTAAAACTTAGTAAAGTATTAAAGCTGCTTCAAATAGTTTAACTATAATTCAATCGGAAGTAATATTTTTTTGTTTAGTCTTGCGTATATGGACTTGGTCTTGCATATTCAGAGTTGGTCAGTCTTCGTCTTGGTCTTTACTAAATCAGGTTGATACGTAATTTTCTTGAATATCGTCCATTTTCTACAAACATTTTAGCGTGTTCCATATAAGAGCACATACAAGAAGCACGCTCATCATCTTACGATTGTCAGTCTCCAGACTGGTTAGACACGCACCTCCGCCCTTTCCTATTCTTACTTAGTCTTTATATTTTCTTCCTAGAACTACAGCATCTCACATACCTAACTATTTGTGAACAATAATCTAATCCAGCTAATCCAGATCCTTCACTTCTCAACATGCTTCTAATCTCTTCTATTTCTAATCAACCTTTTCTGCTTCAAGAGGTGCCCTCTTTCTGTCCTTTTCCTTATTGACTTTTATAACGCCCCTTTTTCTCCTTTTCTTTCTAAAGGTTTTTAACTTTTTCGCCGCACCCATCCTTTTTGGATAATAGAAAATTTCTTTAGATATACCTATATACATGTAAAAATATTATTTCTTTCTAATCTTAGAGGTGGTTCTACTTGGAAGCCAGCAGTCATTCCAACAGGTTCCTTATCATCTCCAAAGCCACACGTACCTCCAAGCAATGTCGCGCCCGTAACTAAAACATCTTTAGCAGCACCAAAGTCAGACAATTGGGGTTCTGTTGGTACTGGACACAACGTTTCAGCTAAACCATTTGGTGGTGGTGCTGTAAGTGTCTGTATTATTCATACATTTAATCCTTTATCAGAATATACCATAAGCATTACATTTCCGTAAATAACATCCCTAATATACCGCCGTTGTTGGATTGGTAAAAATTTAGGTATCTATTTCAGGTAAATGGACTTGGACCAAAGTTAGTTAATAAGCAGTACAATTCACCAGTAAACTTATATTCAGAAGATACGATTGCAGAAACGCTCTCTGCCCAAGCGGAAGTTCTAGCTAATGGGGTTTTAGGGTGAGCTAAAACAAACAAAAGAAAGTATATGCTTATATTTATATTATTTTTCTACTTTTAAAGGGTCAACTTTAAGAAAAATGAAAAAACATACGATGCATCGAAGAGCAATGTTCTCAGATACGTCAAAGAAGATGAATTGGATCCTAAATCACCAGAACCAGGTAAATTGTAGCGTTCTTAAAACTTTTTTCATTAGTGAAGTTATTTTAGTATGTTTATCGTATAAAATCGTAGTATTACATTCTGCACTCACCTTAAGTGAACGAAGAATAATGTAAATTGAAATTCCACAGTTTTTACATTGGATACAAAATAATTTACATCTATAGTATAACATACGGAGAAGAGCGTGATATTTGAATAATTAGGAATGACGAGTTTGCTTGATCATTTAATAGCAAATTTGAATCGCAAATGTTTAATCTATTCACATTAACGTATTCAATTTAGACCTTTTACCTGAAACATGTAAAATTTGATAGTTTTCATTAAATGGATGGCTTTCTAATTGTAAATCGTTAAGACAAGTAATTGGAATTTTGCTTTATTTTGTAAACTTATGAGATGTCTCATTGATTCTAATTTTGAAAGGTTTTCCGCCCTGGTTTATATAGCCTTTTTGCATTATGAATAACTTTTACCAAGTCCAAATTAAATCAAATTTATATTTGAAGATTCAACTAGTCTTGGTACGAACACAGCTGTATGCTGCAGTTTAGCTCTAGAAATGTGGCATTTAAAATTAATTAATTCAGCTTCATAAACACGACAATGTGTATCAAAAAATATGCGACGTTATCGAAAAACATTTGCGATGCTAGAAGAAATCAAAATGTAAAGGAACAGCAAAAACTGCTTTATTCTGGTTTGTACATATTCCGTTTGGTTTAGTGAGTGATTTTTCGGAAGTATGCGGTCCGAATTTGGTAATTTTAAAAAATAGTCTACCAAGAACTAAATAGACTGGTACTGTCCTGATTTAGGCCTAAAGGCCGTCGTTGGTCGGTTGGAGTTGCTTCTCAAAAATTAATTAAAATAGCTAAAAAAAGGATTTCGATAGAAGTTCAGTTTCATAAGCAACATATTTGGGTCTGTACACGAAGAAAATTTACCTAGATATTAAAGGGATATTTATAATTTATCCCACTAGCTCGTTACTTCGTAAGCCAAAATAATAAAAATTACAATTTGGACTCGAATTTGTAAAAGTAAAATCCTAGCAGAAATAAATTTACAACGTATTTTAGTTGATATTAGAAATTTAATTGTAAATTAAGAAACTTGAAATAATTAAAAAAAAACATGTCAAAATTGAAATTATTACAAGTTACCTAATAGATTCTATTTCTACTGCAAATTCAATCATTTACAATTGAAACTTGCAAATTTAGTTTTATACGTGTACATTAGAGCGACATAAAAAGCGACAATTTTATTATTAATCTCGCATGAAAATCTATTACTTTGTAATGATTTATATGAAAACTCTTAACAAAATTAGCACGATTAAACAGTTTTCATAGGCTGCTTATAAATTTTAAAAACTGAAAAAATGGTAAAAATATTTCTTATTCAGTTTTTATTTCTGATTATTTCTGGCTACAGTACCTACATGTTTACAGATAAAAAATTAATTAGCCTTTCAAAGCTGTAGCCCGAAATATGAATTTTTATTTCAACACTTTCTGATGATTTTGAACGATCGTCAGATGGTAGCAATATTAAGATGTGATATTTTAATTGAAGATGTAGGTGAGATCTATAAAGAGTTTCATAATCTAATAATAATAAAATGTTCTAAATATTATACTTGTATATTCAGGACCGTTTTTTAACCTTTACCCAAAATACTTCAACTATTTATTTTGTATAGTACTGTATAAGTTTATAACTGAAGCCAAAAAAATCCCTTTATAGACTAGTGTTTATTAATTATATATTATTTTGGTGCATATTTAATTTGATCTAGGATTGTTTTGCTTCACCTTTTTCCTCAATATAATTTTCGCAAACTTGATCAAATTTTAATCCAGCTCACGAATCTCTGGACGCGGGTGTTGTGACAACACCGTCTCCATTGGGCATTGCAGGGTTAAGACCTGTAAAAGCTCCAGAAAACAAACCGGCTCCTTCGAATCCAACTCTTCCACCTGGTCAAAATATTTGTGCTGAATGTGAGCGCCTCATCGTGTAAGTATTTTATAGCCCATAGACAGGTTTCTTCATCTGCAGCAAAGGAGGGGGACGCTTCGCCGCTTGGACTGATCATTTTTTCAATACCACTTTTAAAAAAATCACATTTTATCAACGTACTCTTGAAATGTATGAAATTTTGTACGTATTAATACCGGTCGTCAATGGAAATTTATATACATCTTCTGTTTCTATGAACAGCAATTCATTATTATGAGGAATATGGTAAATAATTAATGTAGCAGCTCCAGATATATTGTCAAATAATTTCTGTTTACTAAGATAATCTATTTATTTGCGATATATAAGATATTTTAATTAACTTTTTATTTATTTTGAGTAGTCTAGCCGAAATCTGAATACCAAATATTTGGTTGTCTTAGTTCGTGCACCCAAAGTCTCGTGGAGATTTCTCCACTTACACTGTTGTGTAACGTGTCGAAATTATACTAAAAAGAACTAATTTGAATAGTTTTAAAAATCGTGAATTTAGTCCTTTGCTTTTGATGATTAACTCCAAATTAAAATTGTAAGTTACGAAATGTAATAAAACTAACATTTTCCCTTTTACTCAAAGCTGGAAACATTTTATGGTAGTTTGAAATTATTCTTTTAAAGAGCAATTCTCAGTATCGAAGGATTTTTCAATTCGTATTTGATATTTTAACGGTCTGAACTTTTCTATTCTACAAATCGATTGCCATTTGGCCCATTTTGATTGTTTAATGATTCTATTTACCCTAGGTTATTCTTACAAAATAATATGTAGGATTTCGTACTGTATCACATTGTGTAAAATACTCTTTTGTTTCTCTTTTATACGCTTGGTAGCACTACTTACAAAGATAGCGTCTTCTTAACAAAAAGGGTTTTGTGCTTTACAGTTTGCGAAGCGCGAATTTGTATTTAGAGTTCAGCCTGTATTCCGTATGAGTTTTAATTGCAATCTCTAATCCCACACCGATAAACTGTAACTGCAGATTCGTAATTCTTAAGTTCCATAACAGAAAATGCCTTCCGCTTAGAAGACGCCAACATTATAAGTGGCGCTAACAGGTGGTCAGAAAATGGAACTGTCATTTTTAACTTTTACTGTTCTCAAAACTGCACTGCACACTCCATCTGAGGGATGTTATAACCTCCATATATTTTTGTGTTTAGCCAATACATTAAATGGTAAATTGTAATATTGACTTTTGGCCAAAACTAAACGCAGTAATTTTGTACTGATACATCTGATATCTACAAGATTTCACATACATTTCAACGGGTACTGTTGAGTAACTAATTATTCACATTGGGCAGTCATTACGAAAGTTTTTTGCTGATTGTGTACACATTTTGCCGGCAGTAACACGGTCTGATTTTTACGCTACGCATAGTCATGCAGTTGGCGGCTATTCCACGCCTGTTAGCGAACATTCTGTACCGGTTAATCGAACTGGGGGAGGTCCAACTCATTTCGACAACCCCCCAAATTCTGATAATCCTGCCGAGCAGCAGGTTACCAAATGCTCAGACTGCGAAAGGGTTATAGTGTAAGTCCAACGCACGTGTGTTGGATGGATGTTGATGTTGTTCATTAGTCTGTTACGTTGTAGAAACCATGACGATACAATCATTCACAGTTTTTGACAATTCCTGAAATATGACCGATATATATTCATACACGAAGAAAATGAAAACGAAAAATGTTGCTAGACCGTCATCGTAAGGTCGTCAGTCCAAAGATTGGTTGGACACGCACCTCCACTCCTTCCTATCCTGAGCTAATCTTCGCATTTCCCTAAAACTAGGACAACCGATATCCTTAACTATTTACGAACAATAATCTAATCTAGGTCAACCTCTACCACTCGTAACTTCTCTATCAACGGTATCCTCATCATTCGCCTGTAACACCACATTTCGAACGCTTCTAACCTTCCGTCGCGCCTACTGTACACCCGTACAGAGCCGTGCTACAAACATACATACATACAAACATCGAATATAAATTTACAGTTAGCGAGCATAGAAGTGACTTCTTTTTATTGAAGGCGACTCGACCCTGTGCTATCCTCTGCTTTATATCTCTACTACTCCTTCCGACCTGACGTCTCTGACCACCTAAATACCTAAAATAGGCCAGTTCTAATTTTTCTTCTCCTACCATTATATTCGCTTTTTCCCTACTTTTTCTACCCTTAAATACCAGTATTTTTATTCTAATTTTATATATTTTCATACAGTACTGTTTTGTCAATACTGCTTCCATTTTATTTAAAGCTGTCTCTAACTCTTCCTTGTTAGATGCTACTACTGCTGGATACTCTGCAAATCTAAGCATATTAATATTTTGCCCCTGTATTTCTATCCCTACGTTTATACTGTCTTTAATGATGTTGATTGTATAGATTAAAAAGTGATGGTGACAGTGTGCATCCCTGTCTGACTCTTTTCTTAATATTTACTTCTCTACATTGCAGCTCTATCTCCATAACTGCCTGTTGCTCTTTATACAAACTAAGCATCACTCTTCTTTTCCTAATATTAAACCGATATTTACAATTTATCCCACTAGCCTCCTGCTGCTTCGTAAGCGAAAATAATAAAAATTATAATTTGGACCCGAATTTGTAAAAGCAAAATCCTAACAGAAATAAATTTACTAGGTATTTTAGTTGATATACAAATTATTGACTTCCATTGCGGCAATTGTCGCCTTTCTTTTAATACCTCCTCATGTGTATCTAAGCCGTGCTCCCAATATACACCACTTAATTTACACAAAATACGTACATCATGAAAATCTGAAGCTAATTCTGATACCAAATAAGAATTATAAGTAGAATTGATGTTATTTGTTAACATTTTCGAAAGCGCGAAACTCTTTCTAATGATTGTTTTAGTAAATATTATACTACCTAATTCTTGTGATGACTGGAAAATTTCAGAAAATCCGATTTTCAGTACTTACCAACTTAGTTGTTGTATTGTCACATGAATTTGATGCTTTGACTGATCATTAAAATTGATATGGGAGTTGTTGAAACCTGTGAAATAATCGTCAAAACAGTTCCGGTTTTTATTCCTCGTTCTCAACTTATTTTGTCCGTAAATGTGCTAATACCTTTTTACATGCATCTGTCATGCTTACTCGTACTTTTGCTTTCATTGTTTCTGTTAATCCGCAAATCATCAAATAATACGAGGTCTGTTTAAAAAGTATAGCGAATTTTGTGTTCGTTAAAAAATTATGTATTTATTCATCAATAGATATTTTGTCCCTTTAAAAGTAACCCCCCTTAGACATTAGACACTTGCGCCAACGTTTTCTTTTAATCCTGGAGCACTTCAAAAATCATTTCTTGTGATCTTGTTCAGCTCCTTCTTAATCGCAGAGTAGAGTCGTTCTTTCATGAGCCTCTTCAGTTTAGGGAACAAGAAAAAGTCACAGGGGGTCAGATCTGGGGAATACAGTCGCTGCAGCATTATTAGTGTATTGCTTTAACCAAAAATTTGGGCACAAGCAACGGTGTGTGAGCAGGGGCGTTATCATGGTGGATAAGCCAATTTTTGTTTTTCCACAAATTGGGACGTTTTTGGCAGATTGAATCGCGCAAATTGAGCATAACTTGCAGGTAATATTCCTTATTGACCGTTCTACTTTGTGAAAAGAACTTATGATGCAATACGTCCCTGCAATCGAAGAAAACTATGCAAAACCTTCATATTCGACCTAACTTGGGGCGCTTTTTTCAGTCTTGGCTCGTGCAGTAGCTTCCATTGGGATGACTGAGCTTTGCTTTTGACGTCATAACCATAAATCCATGATTCGAAGCCAGTTATGACCCTCTGGAGAAAATTTGTATCGTCGCGGACCTAGTCTAACAGCTCCTTAGCAATGTTAATGCGATGCTGTTTTTGGTCGAAATTGAGCAATTAACATACGTAACCCGCGGAAATTCAAAATTCGCGATACTTTTTGAACAGACCTTGTACACTTAAGTACTTACCTGTGAATATTTTCAAGAGTAGGCTGATTAAAATCATTAATAAAACACTTAATTATATATTATCGTATACATAACATCTATACTATAAAGAACAACATCTATGATTCAAGTGAATTCAGGGCTTTATGTCTTATTGATGATATTTCGAAGGTAGTACCTACAATTATCTGCCTACATCTTATATGCTTTTTGTAGTAGATATTATAAAACGTCTAATGCTTTTTCTGTTGGAATTAATGAAGCTTCATATGTAAACTCTAAGTCATCTAAAGCGACGTCTTATGCTGTAAAACTGAGAAAGATAGACCGCATTTGTTCATGCCTAAGTGTAATTACAACTTTATAGCACTATTCAAACGAAACACATTTTATATTCTGTTAGGAACCTGTTCCTACAAAGGTAAAAAAAGTTTTCAGAAAGGTGTATTCAAACGAATTCCACTACCCTCTTTTATCGAAATGTGGGAGATGTGCAGGCAGTACAACATTTTTTTTGAATTTCAGCTGCAAGAATAAACTCAATAAGGGTTATTGTCCCTCAAAATTGTCCCTAAATGAAATTCCGGCCGTCCTTCTTATTTCTGCTTATATTAGTCATTCGACAAAATAATTTTTTAATTTTTCTGGAAGTTTAATTACTTCAGCCGTCACTTTAGATGGCTTACAGTTTATATACTAGTACGTGTACATATTTTATAAATGTCTACTTAATGCACTGGTTTTTTATTAAAATTTTGATCTTTCTTATTACAGTGGAGTGTTTGTACGAATTAAGGAGAAGAATTTACACGTGGAGTGTTTCAAATGTTCAACATGTGGTACATCATTAAAAAATGTTGGGTAAGTCATCTATTTATGAACTATATTCATCTTAAATACATAAATTGAAATATTAGTAACAACCGTGATCAAACAGGATTCTATAGTAGAAACAAATATTTATATCATTTGATTAAAATTGGATCGATATAGTTAACTTTAGAGATTAATCAATATTGAAATGCTAAATCTGTACCATGACTAATTTATTTGATGTGTCCTGGCAGGTCTATACAATTTGGAAGCCAAGTGTGTTGATGCAATTAAAATTATTATTAAGTTTATATTTTCCGCAAACAAACCAACAAAGCCAAAAAATGTTTTCAATTTGAAATGGACAGTTTCCAATTTAAACTTAAAATATAACTAGTATTTGAGTACGGTACGTACACACCGGATACTTAAGGAAATAAATTCTTATCATAACAAAATCGAAGTAGATATTACAGCTGGTAATCTTCTAATCTAATTATAATAGTCGATTTGAGCAGAAGAATTTTGTAGTTTTCGAATGTAAATTGCAAATTTCTGCTGGTTTCTGTTTAAGTAGACGCAAAAAATAGGAGCAACATTTTAAGCACAAAAGCAGATGTTTGTATATTTTAACGGACTAAATAGCAACAATCAATGTCCTACTCTTATGTTAGTATGACATACAATTTTTCAAGTATTAAAAAGAAAAATGATAATCATTTATTTTTTACTTTACAATTACTTTGGAATTTTATAAAAACGTTCTTCTGCTCAACAGAGGCAATAATAGCTAGGGTGGGTTAAATTATGTGTTTCGCGAATCGCTGGAATGTCTAGGTAGTAAAGCGAGTGACGCCAAAAATGAAACTGATGAAAAGGTTCACAGTTGTCATTATCATAAGGTCGTCAGTTCTAAGACTGGTTGGATACGCACCTTCACTAATCCTGAGCTAATCTTTGCATTTCTTTAAAACTCAAATGTCTCACATCCTTAACTATTTGTGAATAATAATCTAATTTAGATCTACCTGTACTCCTCTTAACTCTTGTTTGTGCTTCCAATATGTCTCTAATAATTAGCCTTTCATGTCTGAGACGGTATCGTACCAACCTATGTCGTCAATTTTTTTACTGAATTTTATAGAGCCTTCTGTTCATCTACTCGTTCTAATACCTCCTCATTTCTAACTCTCTCTAACCACAGTATTCTCATCATTCGCCTGTAACACCACATTTCGAACACTTCTAACCTTTTCTGTAAAAAATTCTCAAGTGGTTTTCTTGTACTCACACTAAATTTAATATTAAAATGATAAAACAATAAATCTCATTAATATTATTGCTTATGAGGTTCGCTTTCTTTCGATTTCCCTTTTTGAAGTTTAGCTTTTAACTATTTTGCATTATAATCCATTAAATAATGGGCTAACCTCTCCAACTAAAATACAACCTTTTCAATAGGGCAAAATAGTTAAGAAGTACAAAACATATTCATTTTTAGGGTTCTGTTCCTCAAAAACAGAAAAGAAACCATTATAGCCGTTTGTCTCTCTATCTTTTAAGACCTTATTTCTCAGGAACGAGTGAAAGTATCAAATTGAAATTAATATCGAATACTCAGGTTCGTAAACGAATAATTTGATACTCGCAATGGTATTAAAACCTATAGGCTAGGTACTTCATGTTGACCTAGAGTCACGAAGTATGTCAATTGAAAAAATAATTTTTTAGTTATTATATTGTACCTAATCATATTTTTGGGGACTGATTTTGGGAGAGAATTTAAAACATAGGAAAACGCAGGAAACATTTTCCAGAATGGATTCCTATAACGAACGAACTATTTACATAATTTTGTACGGAACCTTCGGTGTGCGAGTCCCGAGTCGCATTTAGGAGGTTTAATGTAGTCATTTCCACCAAAGTAAACTTGAGATTATAAATAAAAAGAAATTGGGTGACCAGGCCCACTGTGGGCCGAGAATCTAGAGATTTGTGTAATCATATGCTGCTGAAATCAAGTTTTTATTTAATTAGGTATCATTCAAAAGCTATGAACGATACTACTTTAAGAACACATACTTAGGTATAAGGGACACACATTTGTTAGTCTTTTGGGCTTTCTGCCAAACATGCGAAGCCTTGACATTCACGTGACAATTTTCCTTTTGTTTTGTACTCATCAAATGCCATTATGCAAATCTTTGTCTTGAAATCATTCGATCCTTATATATAGGACATCATTGAAGCTTAGTGTCAGTTTCGCAACATTAGAAATAGTACCTAGGGTAATCCATTGCAAAATACTTTGGTTGTTTTATTAAAAAAAAGGTAAGAAATTTATTTTGCTATAATTTTTTGTTGTAGGTACATATATATTAATTAATATGATCTTTAAAAAGTAAACGTAGAGGATATGTTTGTATAAGTACCTACGTATTATGTAACAGTTTCGAATTGCATTACATGACTGTAATAGTATTTTTAATAACCAATTCAGCTAGCGAATTGGGTTTATGTGCTAAAAAGTATAATATAATACTTATCATCTTGCATTCAATAGGACGTATTTCTATTGACATTAGAGCATTTAAAAAATGTCGTTGTTAAATATTCTCTTTACGTAACCATTCACTGGTGAACACGTATCGACGAAAATGGGTTAGAAACGTCCGGTTACTTTATTCTCAAACAATAAATAAAGTTGCATATGTAGAACATATATAGTTTTGAAATAAACACTTATTTTAAAATATGTAGATGTAGGTAACTGCAGCTAATATTGAGTTTTTACAGGTACTACAACATAAACAACAAACTTTATTGCGACATTCACGCCAAGTTAGCTGCTCGAAGCAATCCTCCAGCTTCAAATCTTGCTCCTGTGACTATACCACCGTAAGTAGCCAGTCAATATTACAAAAAATGACAAAAAGCTAATTATTTACATTTTATTTTATTATTTACTTTCTGTCATTATATAATATAAATAATCTAATATGTATACGGGGTTTGGATGGATGCTGAATCGACAAACAGCGGAACCATACGTTTCTGCCTGTAATTAAGTTCCAGGTAATGCTAAAAGAAATAGGCAAATGCCGAAACCTTATTCGATCAGTTGGACACATACCTCCACTCTTTCCTATCTTGAACTAATATTTGCATTTCCCTAAAACTAGAACATCTCACATACTTAGCTATTTGTATATAGTAATTTAATCTAGGTCTACCTCTACCCCTCCTAACTTCCGTTTCTGCCTCTAATATGTCTCTAACTAGACCTTCATACCTGAAAAGGTGTCCTACTAACCTATCTCGCCTATTTCTTATTGACTTTCATACAGTCCTCTGTTCTCCTATTCTTTCTAAAACCTCTTCATTTATAACCTTCTCTATCCACGGTATCCTCATCGTTCGCCTGTAACACCACATTTAGAATGCTTTTTACCTTTTATTTTCCGCATCGCCCACCGTCCATATTTCGCACCCGTGCAGCGCCGCGCTTCAAATGTATACCTTTAACAACCTTTAGACGCGAATTCTGTTTACTGAAGGCAACTTGAACCTGCGCTATCCTCTGCTTCATATCCTTATTACTTCTGCCGTCCTGATTTATCTGACTTCCTAGACCTCGATTGTCGGCCACTTCTTCTAATTTTTCGTCTCCTATTTTTATATTCGCTCTTTCCCTTCTTTTTCCTCCCTTCCAAATTACAAATCTCTAGGTCAACCGATTTAGGGTATGCGTAATCTGCCAATTAATCACATAAATACCTATTTTCATGACTTTTGAGAATTTGAGAAAATCGCTCTTTTGTACAACCCTTTAGTTTCAAGGAATACTACCTTCAAAGTTTCACATTGATATCAATTTTCTCTTCTTTAAGAATCAAATTTGAAACAATTCCTCCTTAGTGCACCCTAGAGTACTTAAGGAATATTCACTCAAATTTCAAATCTATGGATATAGGTCCAGTTTTAACAGCATGGATTTAGTAAAAACGCTGCCTGATTATCGAGTGCCTTAACGGGGTGGATACGCGTATCATATGCGAAACTAGCAAAGCTCTTTGAAATCGTCTTTAGTGTGTACATAGATTGTTTTTGAGATTTTATTGCGAAGTAATAAGCTTTTCTTTCAGTATTGGCAGACCAGGTGGTGGAGTCTCTTCGCTCTCTCCAAATTCTTTACCTTCATCGGCGCCTCTATCACCAAATATAAATAGTTACGCTCCTCCACCATTTCAGGTAAGGAAATATTTTTTGACAACACGTTAATATTTTAAAAGTAAGTGTTTAGGTTTGTTAAGGTTATTATTAAATAATTTTCACTTAGAAACCTTATTTTCTTGTTTGGATTTTACTACATCTCTTTTCCCTTCATTTTTGGAATGTGATGTTATTATAAATTATGTGAAATAATTGTATGTAATATAATTATAACAAGAACAGATTTACAGATTTATTGTTTCTGTCAATAATTTTCATAAAATTTGCTGTTGGTTTTTTGACGATCTTAATCCGTCTTGTGTTGCTACTTTTCTAATTTAAAACTGTAACTAGGCAGTGCATCGCATGTGATGGTGATGAGCTATGTCAATGGATTTTTGAAAGTGTTGTATAATTGATGAATGTGAAGGAAAATATACGTTGCATTTCATTTAAAAAGATCAAAAATATGGTGACTATGATGAGCAAAGGAATACCAAGACCAATACAATTTCAGTCTTGGTATTGGTCTTGTCTAAGCGGTTTTAGTTTTTGTCTTGCTTGATATGTCTTTGATTTCTTCCAACAATTTATTTACACCTTAAACCTAACTATATAATAACCTACAACTAGAATACAAATATGCAGAAACGACAAGTAACAAAATATATACAAAACAAACGGAGATAATATATACACACAAAAGGAGTCACCTAT